CCGACCTCTTTGTCATCAATTCTCGGCTCCAGAAGCATTATACTTCCATCTTCTGATTTACAGTCTAAGAAAGCCTTCAATATCATCTCTGTGTTCCGGTATCAAAGCATCTTCTATTAGCATTACACGAATATTCTTCTCTTTAGATCGATGCAACACGACTTCCTCTTCATTTACCCTTAATATTCCTTTCTTAAAGTCCAGTTCAAATCCTATAGAGTTCATAATGTCCATGCCTACAATAACTTCATCTTCAATATCTGCAACTAATGCTCGATGTTTAAATTTCGTATTTCCTATGACCATCGTGATGTCCACTTCTCCACGAACAGTAGCGGTTTCTCCTGTTGCAGTACGTAGTCGCCGATTAGTAGGTTTGATCTTGGACATTTCGACAATATCTGGCCTAATAATTGTCTTTGTCGCACCTGTATCCAGCAGCAGCACATGTAATTTTCCATTAATTAAACCATCCACAAAAACACTGCTGGACTGGTGTAGAAGAGATGCAACACGTTCAATATCTTCTGGGGCATGCTGGTTACAGGTCGAAGGTGCCCCCTTTTCCTCGACCCTACCTAGTTTTCCGACTGAGACGAAGTCGGCTACACCTGGCTTCTTTTACAACGACTTCGTATATGTCCTAGCTTTCCACATCTCCAACACCGGATTTCCTTCTGATCTGGTAAATTCTCTTTAAGGACTCGTCTGACTGCTTCAATTATACTAGGTTCCTCCTCCTTTTCTTCTTCGACTCTCCTTATTCTAGGCTGGCTCCTGCAGCTCTGCTTTGCCGCCTCGAATTCCAAAGCTCGAGCCAATGCATCAACCAGTTGGCTCGGACGAGCCAATGTCAGAGCCTGTCGTGTTTCATTGTCCCGAAGTCCATCCAAAAAGGCTTGAACCGCTAATCGTTCCATAACGGTCGTTGGAGTAGCTGGATATGCTAGCCGGACCAAGCGTGCAATATCAGCCTCAAATTCTTGTAAAGTCTCATTCGATTTCTGGCAGCGATTCTTTAGTTGGGAATGGTACACATGTTCCAGATGTGTCTGGCCATATCGCAGTTCCAGGTGTTTCACCAAGGCTTCGTAATCTTCTTGTTCGTTTGGAGAAAGTGTCTGCAAGATGTCCGTTGCATCTCCGCGTAAAGCAAGAGTTAATGCTGTAGCCTTCTCCTCTGGTAGCCAGCCATTTGCTTTTGCTGCTGCCTCGAACTGACGGATGTAGTTGGTCCAAGAAGTTTTTCCATCGAACTGAGGTGGTTTCATCCTAACTCGGCTCCCCTCCAGCATTGTTCCTGGTTCCGCCAGCATCATGGGTAGATTTACAGCTGTCAGTTTACTATTTATTTCTTTAATTTTGACTTCCAATTTATCATCCAATTCCATCCTTACGTCATTCAATTCCATCCTTACGTCCTCTTTTAATTCCTTGACATTATCTAGAATCTTCTGTTCCAAATATTCCTTTAAATTTTTAGAATTTTCCAGAATTTTCTGCTGTAGTTCGATAGAATTTTCCAGCATTTTCTGTTGCAAATCGTTGACATTTTCTAACATTTTCTGTTGCAACTCGTTGGAATTTTCCAGAATCTTTTGTTGTAAATCTTTTAAATCGCTAGAATTTTCTAGCATTTTCTGTTTTAAATCGTTAGAATTCTCCAACATTTTTTCGTTTAAATTTTGCAACATTAACTGCATATCACACGGGCCTTCAAATAAATACGTATCTGGATTTTCACCTTCCTGCTCCAACGCTTCTCGAAGCCGCTGCTGCAACACATTCTTTTTTCCCGTTGTTTCACATTCCCTTTCTTCCAGCTCCCGCTTAAGGTCCGCCACTTTTAAGTCCATTAAGGAAACCATTTTCGCGAAATTTCACACTAACCGCACTCCTGACACCAATTGTAACGTTTTTAACTGTTCGTAGTGTGAATTAAAACACGCACTGGTTAATTAACGAACTAAACTATTTATTTAATAACTTAACTACACTTAAAATACTATAAAACTAACTAAACACTTAACTACTAATTATTTATATATCACTATTGTTCAAGAGTCTATTTATTTGCACTTATATTTATTTATTTCGCCGCGAGTACCAAATCTTAACTGACTACTCTGTGCGGCTCCGTTTCTTATATATTCAGCGCCTAGGTCTTCTGGAACATTCCAGCGAGCTCCACACTCTCGATTATTAGAGCGCTGACTCACCGGCGATGACTCATCAGCGATGAGTCATCACTCCGATATCCAGAGCGGTACTCGCTACAATAGTAACAAAGACTTAAGTCTATTTTCTGAAAATTTAAAGAGAAGATTTCTAAATTTGGATAAAAATCAATTCAGACTTGTTATGGAAAAAAAAAATTAACATTTTTATATAAGTTTAAGACAAAGACAAAAAAAATGTGTAGGTATTGATTTGAAATAAAAAAAGTTATTGAATTATTTTCGCAATCGTTTCACCGCGAACATCTAAAAAGGCATTTAAAAAATAAAGACCTATATTTTTTTATCAAATTATAGTTAATTATACCTATTTAAGGTAATTTCATATCAAATCAACCAAAGTTTTCGAAGGCACCACCTTCGATTTTGATGAATTTTGGTACAGTTGCTCTTTCCATTGAAAAACTCAAAAAACAAAAAATTTTTTGAACAGTAGTTTTTCTTTTATATTTATGGATTTTTGTAAATCAAGAAATTTACCAATTTGCCTCTGCAGGCTCTTAAAAAAACAGTTATATCTCAGGAACTGCTCGTCACATAGCATTGAGTAATAGCTTGTTTTCGAAAATTGAACTATCAAAGTTATAGCAATGTTGCCAGAGGTAAAATATTTATGATGTTTTGAAAAATATGTACATGTAACACTGTATACAATAAATTTATATATAAAAAAGCGTATTATAAGATAACCAAACTAAAAAAGCCTACCCACACAGCAATTTTCGATATAAAAATTAAATTAATTTTACAATTTTAAATTTTGCACATTTTGAAGTATGATAGTAAATTAAGTGTAGTGCATAACAAAGTGAGTTACAGGCGGCCCTGGTCTTAAGACACTAACTAGGGCCTTTTCCACAAATCAACCACTTTAGGTCATTGTTGCAAGGCTGTAAAACATTTCCAATGTCTTTATTTTTAAAACCGCCGATATACGTAAATATTTTGCATAGGTATTTGTTATATCCTGCAGGATTTTTCTTAAATATACCGACCTAGACGTGACAGAAAAGGCAGAAATTTTTATAAACAAGGAAAAATAGGTGTCTCAAGCTTAGCATAAATAAATTTTGGTAAAAGATTGAATTTTATGATCCAAATACTAAAATTCCCTATAACCCGGGTTATTTCTTTGTTTTTAAGGTTTTTTAAACTGGACTTTTCATTTCTCCATTCTGAAAAAAAATGGTGTTTTTGAGAAATTTACAAAAATATTTTTTTCAAAAATTTACATTTTTTAAAGAAAAAGTATATCATGTGATAACTTATCTGAAAGGGCTTCAAAAGATCTTTAAAACAAGCTATTACTCAATGCTCTGTGATAAGCAGTTCCTGAGATATATCTGCAGAGGCAAAATTGGTAAATTTCTTGATTTTTAAAAATCCATAGAAAAACTACCGTTCAAAAAAATTTTGGGTTTTCGAGTTTTCAGGACGTAAAACAACTTTACCTTAAATAATCAAAATCGGAGATATTGAAAAATTTACCTTTTTTTGGTTGATTTGATATGAAATTACGCTTTCGTCTTATTTAACACAGTAAAAAAAATATTTCTTTGCAATAACAAACTTTTTTGATTATTTCTTCAATTGATGCTCTAGGACTATCTACAACGCATTTAAAAAATAAAAACCGTTATGTTTTCGATTAAAATATAGTTAATTATACGTAATATGTCTAATTTAGTCTGCAACAAAAATTATTGGGTTATTTCCGCAATTGACACTCTATGAACATCTAAAAACGCATTTAAAAATTAACAAACTTTATGTTTTTGATCGAAATATAGTTAATTATACGTAATAATCCTTGTATAATAAAGTAAAAAAGAAAAAAATAATATTTATTTTTAATAAAAAAGATAATCCAAAATCGCATTTAAAAAATAAAAACCTTTAAAATTTTCGATTAAAATTTAGTTAATTATACGTAATAACTCCTATTTAACACATTAAAAAAAGAAAATTAATATTTATATGTAATAAAAAAGTTATTGAATTTTTTTCGCAAAACGCTGCTTTTTGAGCATAGTGCGGCGTGCTATCAAATAGGTACTCCTAACCCGGGGTTGGTTGAACCAAAGATTTCCCGAGAAATGGATTAGTAGAATGGCCAGCAAAATCTCCAGATTTAATGCCACTTTATTTTTTCTTTAGGGTCATTTAAAATCTCAAGTCTACAAAACACCACCTGAGAACATTAAAGAACTCAAAGGAAGAATAATCCAAGAATGTTGGCAGATAACTCCAAACGGTTCAAAAAGTTCGACAAGAGTTTGAGAACAGATTGTATTATTGTTTAGCAAATAACTGAGCACATTTAAAATATTTTTTATGGAATTTTTTGTTTTGTTTATTTCACATCTTTTTTGCTCTAACTTAATATATAATAACTTAATTTTAATTTTAACTCCAATTTTTTAGTTTTAGTTTTTAATTGAAACCCTATTATTCTGAATTAAAGCTGCAGCTTACAATTACAATAAATACCAATGTTTTAGTCTAATTACATTGATCTGTCGTTTTTAAATAAAAAGAGGTTAAATTTTTGTATATAAAAAAAGGTTTTTTCCATTTAATAAAAAATTGAAAAAATATGACGCACCAGATACATTTATCTACTCCAACAAGAGCATCAGGTGGTTTATTGAGAACCAATTTAAACTTCAATTTGCCACTTCGTTTGATCTAGTGGCCTGCCGCTAACTAGATAAGACACAAAGGACGAACCAGCGCTGCATTTTCCATTCAGTTTTGCATGAAATGGAAAAGGCCGAGGATCGACTGAAAACAATACTCGAAAAATGGAAAGCTACTAAAGCAGGGGACGCTCAATTCAGCAAATTGGATGTTTTCGTAAAGTTGCAAAAACCGAGTGTTTGCAGCAAAAGTTTCGTGCTTTTTGGTTTGGTTTTGGTGGGGTTTTCCATTTTGGTATGGTATAAGTTGGAGGCGATTTTAAACAAAGAGGTAAGTAGTAAAATATTTATTATTTAAACATGCACTTTAAATTCATTATTTTCTTTGAATTATTTTCAAATTTGTTATGGTTTTTTTATTATTTTTCAATGTTTACAACAAATTCGAAAAATACAAACAGTTTGAAAATTAAAATTTTGATACAAGAAAATTTTAAGAAATAAAAATATCAATTTGGACCATTATTATAATAATTATAAAGAAATTAGCAGCAAAAAAACAAAAAACGCGATTGTTTTGAAAATTTAATATCTCCTGAACGAGTATTAAAAAAAATATCAAAATTTACCAGAAAGGGATTTTTAATGGGTACTTAAAAATATCGAAAAAAAATCAAAAATCAACATTTTTCAAACTGTCAGACTTGTTGTAAAATGCCCCATATTAAAAATCAACCCTCCCCCTGATCATTTTTTACTGATGTAATCATTATCATTACAATTTTTTTTAATGATTAATGGATTCAAACTACATTACCATTAAAAAAAATGACGATTGCATTATTTTTTACATTAACATTTTTGCAACTCTGGAAGAAAGGCACTTTATTTTAACTTAAAACCAACTTCAGCACGTGACTAAAAATCTGTTGCTAACTTCAACCCGTGACTAAAGCGCCATAAAGCCACAACTTATCAATGTGTATTTAAAAGGTCACTTTGTGATCTAGAAAAATGTACGATAATGGGCGTTTTAAGGGTTGAAGTAAAAAAACAAATTATACGTTAGTTCATAAAGAAATCTATGTTTTAGTGTTTATTGGAGGTTCCAGGCTCCGTATTACGACCACCAGAATATTGCGAAATTTGCAGAAACGTAACAACAATTGACAAAGTGGAAAACATATCCCCCGAGTCATTTTACTACGACTACGTCAAACCTTGTAAACCTGTAATCGTGAAAGATGGCGCTCTAGGCTGGGAAGCAATGAAGCTATTCAGCTTCGACTTTTTTAAACATGTCTATGAAAGCCTTCCTGAGAAAAGAACAAACACAAGGTGTCAGTTTTTCCCCTATCAAACCGAGTTTAGGTCTTTGAAAGAAGTTTTCAATATGAGCTCGGCTAGAGCCAAGTTAGAACCAGGAGAAAAGAACTGGTATATTGGTTTTAATAATTGTAACGACGAAGCAGGGCAAATTTTGAAGCAATATTATGAGACACCGTACTTTTTGTCTCCTAATTTAGAAAATATCGCACTCAGTTGGATTTTCATGGGAGGACCTGGACATGGAGCCCAAATGCATGTAACTAAGCCAAAATATTTCGATTCAAATTTTTTCACATATTTTTTAGGTCGACAATGTGATCTATCCTTCTTGGCAGGCTCAGTTAAGTGGAAGAAAAAAATGGATCCTGGCTCCTCCACCAGAATGTTACTATAAATGCAAAGAAATCAGTGTCATCGTGGAACCTGGCGAAATAATAGCACTGAATACGAATCGTTGGTACCATCAAACCTTCGTTCAACCAGGAGAGATCAGTATAACCATTGGATCAGAATTTTTTTGAAAACAATTTTTGAAATCAACCTTCTAATATTCACATGTTGTATCGTAATCAATACAATTTGTTTCCAAATAATTATTAAAACAATCTGAATAGGTCTTATATACTTCTTTAAGAACCCCAAAAAACTCATCTATAGATAAATTTAGGTAAGTATACTTACCTAAATTTAATTATACCCATCGAAAACAGTCCACACTTTAATTTCATCACTGTAACCTGGAAATGGCCGCCGTTCACCTCCATACAATAGTACAGTATTGTGAAGAATATCGGGTGTAATTTGTTGGCATTCATTAGTGATGCGGTTCCGTATATTTTCTAAGGATTCAAATGTCCCCACAAAAATAAATCAATTCAACTACCAGGAAATGTTTAATACAGAAACTGCCGTACAGGTAATGCATAATGGGGAGAAGCCTCGTCTTGATGAAATATCGAATTTTCTTCATGGTAACATTGATCGTTTTCCATAATTTCAATCAGCGCTGGGTTGACGGCATACTCCAACAAGTCCAAGTAAGTAGCTTCATTTAAATTTCCCGGTAAGAAATCTGCCCAGTTATGCGATCACAAAAAATACCATCCCAAACGTTTAATTTCTGAGGATGTTGAGTATGAACCTCATGAATGATCCTTGGATTCGTGTCAGACCAATAACGACAATTATAACGATTGACAATGCCATAAAAAATGAACATTTGTCTGAGAAGCAAGCATTAAAAAAGTAGTTGGGAGAATTTATAATTATTTCGGACATTATTTCACAAAATTGTAAACGGTCATATCATCTTCATGCAATTCTTGAAGTAGTTGAATTATATATTAGTGCCATTTATTATGTTTCAAAATTCTTTGTACGGTGGCCCGAGACACCCATTACATCAGAAAGTTTTCTGGTACTTAATGTAGGGTCCAAAGTTATTTCACCCAGAACAGCTACTTCTACTGCCTCATGTCTCATTAAATTTTCGATATCTCGTTTTTTATTTGCCACTGAATCAGTTTGCCGGAATGTTCCTATTAATTCTAGTATGTACCCAGTAAGCACAAGCTAGCCGGCCCGCATACGGCCCGAATACGTTTTGCCGAATCGGCCGCGTGCGGCCCGACACACGTATTTCTTCCGGCGCACAGTGTTTCAATTCTCGAAATTTTCGGCAAAATATCAAGGAGTAGTCGAATTCTCCTAAAAATTTGTACATAGAGGTTTTTGGGGTCGCTGATAACGAATCTGGAATCATAATTCCAAAATTCAAAATGGTAGATCCAAAATGGCGGACATATTTGTCAAAAAATTGACGGAATAAATTGAAAATCACCATACAGGGTTTTTGGGGTCGTTGATAACGAATCTGGAATCAGAATGTAAAAATTCAAAATGGTAGATCCAAAATGGCGGACATATTTGTAAAAAAATTAACGGAATTAATTTAAAATCACCATACAGGGGTTTTTGTGGTCGCTGATAATGAATTTGGAATCAGAATTCCAAAATTCAAAATGTTAGACCTCAAATGGCGGACATTTTTATCAAATATTGTTGAAATTAATTAAAAATCCGTTAGAGGTTCTTTTTAAAATGTAATAAAACATTTTTTTATAAAATAGCTTAAACAATCTTCGTTACTGGATTCGCTCGTTGTATCATTAGCAGAGCATGGGAAACCATGGTTATGCATAAGAAGATAGCAACAGTTTTATTGCTTCACGGGACAAAGATTTGCTCTTTTTCGAATCAATTTTTCTGAAGCTAGAAATATACGGATCGGAAGATGCCATAAGCCAATGGCATCTTACATCGTTTTATTTATAAAATTTAAATATAACAGATTTTATACTAAGTATTTTAAATTTGTATTATTTCTTTTACATACTTAATATTTTAGCAACGATTTCTTAATTCGCTAAAAAAATTGTCAACACAAATAACCACAATTCAAATTTGACATTAACACACTACAATGCGCATGCGGAGTTGTTTGAACGCACCTACAAGAGGTGGCTTAAATATGTAAAATCGGTGTTAACTATAGTAAATTTAAAAATAAACTACGTACACGTCATCAATAAAACAAAAATTTTACGCATTGGTACCAACACTAAATGACTAAATCGAAGTCTGTAATTGAATATTTGAATGCATTTTAAACATCTTCAGTTGGCAACAACTAAGATGTTGTCATATTTACATTCAAATATTTCATATTTAAATGACACATAAAAAAGAATTTGACGTTTTAGAATTTCGAAGCTGTCAGTTGTGTTTTTGAATATTTCGTTTAATTCGTGTATTATTTCGTTTATTTTGTTTGTTGTTTGTGTTATTTTATATCGTTTAAGTTTTTATAGCCGTTTTTGTGTTTGTTATATATCGTTTTTTTGTGTTTCCTATATTTAAAATGCCGAAGCATTTAAATAGTCGGAGTCAAGAGTTGGTTTCATCCTTAATACGCTATTTTGAGGCAGAACGGGATAATAATGGACCTTTGTTACCTTTAACAGCTGTTAGAGAGGTAAATAGGATTATTATTAATTATATATTAGAATATTTGACAAAATATATGTTGGATACATAAAATAATAATATATATACCAGAGACTGATTTTAGATGGCAAAATTTTTGGGTTTTATATCAGAAAATGTCTTTAAAAATGGCTAAAAACATACTTTTGGAGGTGCATCATATAGGTTATAAAAACTCAGACTTTTGACATTTTGGTATTATTCATGTAAACGCCATCTATCTCCCTGTAGTTGCACTACCACTTTCCCTTGATGCAAGGATTTTAGCATCACATTGACAACCGTGCCCGATCAGCTGATTGATGACGTGTACGTAGTTTACTTTTAAATTTACTATATCTTAGTAGTCACGAACGATTTACGCAAGTGAAAGTCTAGACACCGCTGTTGTAATAAACGTTTTGAGTTAAATCCGAGTGAATCGAGTAAACGTCATGAACTTAACCCAGAAATAAAAAAATCTTATATTTTGTAAAGCAAAAACACAGATACGCGCTCGACATAGGCTTAAAATCGCGAGGTTTTTTACCACAACCGTGCCTGAGCGCCCAAGAACATGTAGTTTTAAAGAGCTGGGGGCGAGTTGGGGCAGATAATTTATTGATGGCTTGATAGACAAAACTCTAAGCTATTCAACGGATCTTGAACTGATGCCTTACAATTCATTACAATTTTTGTAGCTCCATTGTTCTAAAAGCTCAATTCAAAGTTTGCGATTTTAACAGACCGATCTTTTCGGTTTCAATAACTCGTTGCACCAGCAAAATCTACGAAAAACAAATACATATCTGAATTTTACATACCTTGAAGATCACCCTTCATCAAACCGCATAACAATTGGACACACCAAACACAAGTTATTCACTTTTAAATAAACAATTTTCCGCCGCGATCGCGTGTAAAGTACCTTCAACTGAAAGCGTCAAGTTTAAACTGCATCATGATGTACAAGACAAAATATACATATTTTATATAATTTTTCAATACAGGATGGAGACAGGTATTAACTACCTATCTGACTCAAAATTTACCTGAAATAAAACTGGTATGTCCGAATGTGGGCTATGTTTACTCGGCCGAGTGTCGGCTGTGTATAGTTGGCCGAGTGCAGGCCACAACCGCCTAGCCATTCAAAAAAAGCCTACAGACTTCCTGGTATATCCTATAAGATCAGTCCTGAAATTCTCTGAATAGCAAATTATTTCTTTAACACACTCGACTAGCTAGACATTATTCGTTACTGAGCAGATGAGGATGGAGATGGGGACTCCAAACAATTAATGTTCAGCTATGCCATACGGACGCACACTTCCTACTAAATATTGCAACCAATCGCTATTAATTTGCGTAAGCAGCCGTATTTCAGCCGTAAGCGGGCCGGCTAGGGCAAGCCGAAGGATTTTGCAGCGGCATGCCGTATTCGGGCCGTAAGCAAGCCGGCTGGGGCAAGCCGAACCGCCGGTCAACCGCACAGAAAAAAATAATTACATATTATCAATGTATGCCAAACATTGACCAATATTTTATTAAATTAATGTAGTTATACATAAATAAAATGTATAAATACATTAATAGAATGTTTAAATTTTATAAGCTCATGACCACGTACATTGATATTATGTATAGCATACATTAATATAATGTACAATTTTACATAATATCAATGTATTAATACATTAAATTCATGTAAAAATACATTTAACTAAAGTATATATACATTAACTTTAGCCAAATCATTAAAAAAAAAACGTACATTATAATAATGTATAAATACATTAACCAATGTTTCAGGTTTATTAATTGATGTTTTTAATACATTATATCAATGTATAAATTCATTAATCAAGGTAGATTGTTCATTATTCAATAAATTAATACATTGTATTGATGTGCAAAGTTATAAACGCCTACAGAGTATTAATTATATAGCTTCCCGCTTTACTAGCCAACAGTGCAAGGACGTATTTGTTTCTGTTCCAGAGCCCACACCCTAAGAAAAAATTGAAATTATTATTCTTTTGTGTTTGTGAGTCGATTCAGGTGGTTATTGTGAAAGTAAAAAGCAGATAAATAGAAAAAAAGGTAAGGAATATCACTTATTAATGTAAAAAGTAATATAATATATGAAAATAACACTTTACGTTAAATGAGGCCACTTTTTATCGAAATTACCTTAGATGCTTGTGAAATAATATTATGTTGCTATTGTTTCAGATGCACGAGATGCTACAATTTTTCTGGTAATCCATGGCAATCCAACTGGCAAAATAGTCAAAAAAGATAACACAGAAAAAAACGTGACAACTAAATTTACGATAAAGGATTCACAAGACGCATTTCTGTACCTCTCACCCACTTTGGAGGAGTTCGAGAAGCATCTTGATCATTTAAAAAAAGCAAGTCAATGCACAGCAGTTTTATTTATTTTTTGGATAGGAAAGGATGAGGTAATTTACCTCAGGTAAACATTAAAGAAATTTATCTTTATTTTTATGGTGTCCGATATAAATTTTTTAGTGTATTAAGGGCAGTAGATATTTGCTTTAAATGTATTTATT